TTTGTAAGCAGGAATTGTCATTAATATCCATAATCCAAAAGCAGGAGTTGCCATTAATTTTGATATACTATCCATAATCCAAAAGAAAATGCAAAAATATGGCTTAGAACTCACGGTTGAGAAAATACAAAAAGATTGTTGCAGGAGAAATTGAGTTTTTGCATGAAAAAAAAAACTTAGGGTTTGGGAAACACAGGGCATAGAGAAGGGTTTGAGAAAAAAAAGGAAAAGCGTATATTAAGAGATTAAAGGAAGAGAGACGAGATTTCTAAACAATTACTTAGATAATTTTTGGTAGGCTTAAGACTTAAGAGTGAGTTTATAAAGGATATTTTTCATATAATCTTCTCAATTGTTGTTTTATTTGTTTTGCAGGTGATATGTGACGCAGTAGTTGTGAAATCTCAAAAAATAGTGAGGAAAGTTGCAAGAGTAGGTAATCTATATTCTCGATTGGAAGGACAACTAATAAGAGATAATTGTGCGGTTAGACGATGGTTTTTCATTATGTAGCATCTCATTATCATCTAAATCACTTTATTAGTTTTTGCATGTTATATGAAAAAGATATATATTAGTTTCCTATAATTTAACATTGAATGTTAAATGTATAATATATCAAATTATGTGTTTGTTACTCTAAATAAGTAATTAGTTTTTTGTTAAATGTAAAATCTCAATTTACAATCTTAAACTATTACTTTTTTGATATTGTTGTCCCGCGCAAGGTGCGGATACCGGGTTAGTATTAGAATAAATGGGAAGAAAAATCAGAAGAAAAGAAAAGTCACATCAGAAGAAAAACAATTTTGACCAAGTACTTGAAGAAGGAAGAATTCAACTTTTTACATTATCAGCATAAATTTTGTTCTAATAATTTCTTTTTGACTAGCTAGAGGGCAAAAAAAAAATTTCTCTTTTCTTTTCTTCTATGGGTGCTAAACTAGGGGTCCCCCAGTTTAGTATGCTGAGGATTTGTGGTTGAATCGGGCCAATAGCTTATAAGGCCTAAGGCCCTATTAAGTATAGTGGAATAATGTAGAATCGAAAACGCGTTTGGTGATCGGTGAATGGTGAGTGCGTTGAGTGGAGAATTTATTGCGAGTGCCGCATTATAGAAAAAAAAAAAGCAACAAGTGGGATTTTCCCCTCGTATGTATAAATACTCTTTTTTCTCTCCTCGAGATTGCGTATTTCGAGTCCATTTAACATTAGTCGGCCACAGAAAGAAAATTAGGGTTTGAGATGGGTGGAGGAAACGCACAGAAATCGAAGATGGCTCGTGAGAAAAACTTGGAGAAGGCAAGGCAGGCTGGTAAAGGTAAAATCAATATCCGATTCGATTTAGGGTTTCAGAGAATAATTGATCGAACGAATATTAGAGATTTATGTCGATTTATTCTGAAAGTTTTTGTTTGTTTGATAATTGTATGTTTTGATCTGTTACAGGAAGCCAATTGGAGGCGAACAAGAAAGCTATGTCGATTCAGGTGATATATTCACTACCATTGTCTTCTCTTGTTACGGTCAAGATTTCACTTTGAGATTAAGTTTATGCAAATTATTGGTCTATAAAATCGTTTTTTTCAAAAACCCAAAAGATAGACTTCTTGGTATCAAATATTATAAGTTCTATAGTTATCATTATAATACCTTTTTCTTAGGAATTGAAAGTTTGAGGATGTAACTTCATGGAAATTGAAGGTAATCTAATTGCGATTGTTCATTCTAGAACATATAGAGTTACTAAACCGTAATTTGTTGCATTACCCATTTCGTCTTCTTGATGCAATACTTATCTCATCTTGATGCACAATTTCTGAATTTGGGTAGTCTTGCCAGTAAGCAGCTCTATGAATATTGAGTAATCATTCGTCTATTCAATAACTTGTTGATATATGTATATATATACAGTGCAAGGTTTGTATGCAAACATTCATCTGCACAACATCCGAAGTGAAATGCAGGGAGCACGCAGAGGCCAAGCATCCGAAAGCAGATGTTGTCGCTTGCTTCCCTCACCTCAGCAAGTGATAAAACTATTATCTCCCAAAAGGATTCCAATGTAAATGTATGGATCCCCCTCCTATGTTTGTATCTTCAAGTCTTAAGTGTCGACAAACTTATGCTTCTGTTTCTCTACTAAAAGACTTCTTTCAACACTTAAGACTCTTATGACTATTATTATATATCATGAAGCTTTGTTTGGGTCTTCTTTTCATGTTTTCAATGTTGGCTGTTTTGCTCTGTCAATTATGTCTCTATAAAAGTATAAATAAACACAGTTTTTGATACAACTTCTGATGTTTTTTGAGTTAATATTACAACATCACAAATGTGTGGTTCAAAGATAGTAAAAAAGCATCAAAGTTTTGGTTTTACAAAGTTCGCAGTCTGCTGCTCTCTGCAGCTTTAACTTGAGCAAAGTATGGATGAGCCTATACAGCAATAGATTAACAGAGAACCACAGATTATAAGTTTGGTGAAAAAGATAGTTGAATAAAAAAATGATGAGCGTGTTTGAAGAGGAATTTTACCATGGCTTCTCTTGCGGTTAATCTGTCTTGATGATCATACCGTAGGAGCTTATCGACAAAATCAATGGCCTAATGACGTTCATACAGTTTTGAGTCAATAAACCCAGAATGAAATGAAGCAGATTATATATAGTTAAGAAAGAGTAGAACCTCTGGTGAGACCAAGTGTTGATTGTCTGCATTGATAAACTTGGACCATGGTTTCCTGCTATGCCTGCAATGTACAGTCCAAACAAGTGAATGCGGTTTCAAGTTAATTTTAACTCATTGGTCTGAATTCAAACCGATCCCGATTGGAGAAAAGCAACAGTTTGAAACACGAGAATCAGGGGCGAGACAAAACCTTCCAACAAGTGCCTCCAGTTGAGGTTCTAGATCTAGCTGATATTTGTTAAGGTAAGTATCTAACTCATCGGTTCCCAACACCTACGCGAAAACAAAAAAGAAGGCGCAGATTTCAACCAGAAATCAATTAAATAGATTCGACCTTGTAATTTAATCTTATGCACACAAATCAGCATCTTAGAGGCTAGCAATAGACCTTTGCGATTTTGACAAGTTGATCATGATTATCATGACCGTAGAAGAATGGTTCCTTACGAAATATCTGCAGGCATTGATAAGCAAATAAGCCTCAAAGTATGGTGAAAACAGTTAAAACCTAGAAAAATTCTCAGTTCTCACCATTCCAGCAAACATGCAGCCAAGGCTCCACATGTCTAAAGAATAGTCGTAATCCTGTAGATCAACTAGCAACTCGGGACCCTTGAAGTATCTGACAAAGCGATACACAGATTTTTAGTCTAATGCATATAATAATCTTAACAAGCTTAGGCCCCTATTGGACATGGTAAGGCACGTGGATTTGAGCAGTGGTTTTCTGATATTACCTCGAGGCAACTCGAACATTGTACTCTTTTCCGGGATGGTAAAACTCAGCAAGGCCCCAGTCTATCAGACGAAGTTTACGCAGCTGATGATCTATCATGACATTGTGGGGCTTGACATCTCTGTGCATTATTCCTTGGGAATGGCAGTAATCCAATGCCTGAAGTTCAACAACGCAATATCATTAGCTATGGAAGCATATAGCAAACCAATGTAAGACAAGCATAAACTTTGGATGTATTGTAAAAACTCATAGATATAGTATCGAATGTCGAAGAGTAATGGAATTACCTTTAAAAGCTCATAGATATAGTATCGGATGTCGTAATCAGTCAATGTGGGATACAATACTTTAAAGTCCACACTGTTGACAAACTCAAATACCAAGCTAGGTGTTTTGGAGTGCTCATCTCTGACTATATCAAGAAGCTTAACAATATTCGGTCCACCACAGAGGTTCTGGAGTATTTTGATCTCTCTCTTTATCTGCATACCATCGAAAATCAATAACTAATCAAGTTTCAGCAATAGAAACAACACAAATCAGCAGTATGCAATGTATCAGAACAAAGAGTTCCACTAACTGATCACCTTCTTCTTTTTCACTGGTTTGAGGATTTTGATAACGCAGCGCTCGTTCGTATTGACGTTTTTGCCTTCGAAAACTTCGCTGTATTTTCCTCGACCAACTTTCCTCACAACCTCATAATCATCTTGGTGACTAAAGATTTCCACAAAATGAGACCCAAAGGTCAAAACATAATACAACCGAGTGATAAGCTAATCAAATCCGATTACGATGAGTTACAGAACGAATTTGAATTGAGTATCTGAAAAAGGGAAGCAAAAGCCCTAAGATCCCACTTTCTCGGATTCAAATTCGATTTCGGGAAAAGGGATCGCAAGGAATTGAAAAATCATGAATTCGGCGAACAAAGATGAAGAATATTACCCCCATTGAACAACGAGCGACTCGTAATCCCAGTACTCTTTGGGACGAACAACGTTAACGTCGATATAAACCCTAGATTTGGACATGATTTGGATCTAGAATAGAGAAAAAGGAGACACTTGTGAAAGCTTAATCGATCATATCGTCTCTCTTATCGTCAGGTGGTGGAAAATGGACGATGATGATGACAGAGGAAGTGCGCTACGCAGGATAAAAAAAAAGGTTTTGCCCAGTT